ATCAGGAATAGATTCGTTCTCAGCTAGAGCAGCCAGCCATGACAGCAGCCAGGATGATCTGTGCCCTGTCCCATCCTGCTCCCAGGGAATTCTCTGTGCCTGCTGCAGTCAGATCTCGGTGCTTTGGAGCAGCACTGAGAGCTCAGAACCCAGCCTGGCTGAGCTCAAGGGTCCATCTGAYAGGGCTGATGAGGGGATTCTCCTCTTTTTCATCTCCTTTCTCTGCACCAAAGCCTTGCCAAGCCACCAAGGCAAAGGAGCTCTTGCTGTAGGGACTGGTTTAACTCTGGGTTCTTGGCAGCTCTGACAGGGCATGGCACAGCCCTGGATGATATTGTCAGTGTGTGGTGGTGTTTGTTGAAAGCTGAACTTGATGATCTTGGAGGTCTTTTCCAACCTTTACGATTCTGTAACGTGAGCCAGGATTTCCAGGTGCCCTCAAATGGCAGGAGGTGATGGCACAAATGGCAGGAGCTGATGATGGTTCATATGGCAGGAGGTGATGGCTCAAATGGCAGGAGGTGATGGCACAAATGGCAGGAGGTGATGGCTCAGATGGCAGGAGGTGATGGCACAAATGGCAGGAGGTGATGGCCCAAATGGCAGGAGGTGATGATGGCACAAATGGCAGGAGATGATGGCACAAATGGCAGGAGGTGATGATGGCACAAATGGCAGGAGATGATGATGGTTCATATGGCAGGAGGTGATGGCTCTGTGCAATTACAGAGCTGTGAAGATGGAGATAGAGCTCCCATGGCTCTGATTGCTCTGGGGAGATACAAACAGCTGCCCTGTGTCCCTGGGCATACAAGCACATTTCCACAGAAAAATGATTGAGATTCCTCAACACCCTTCCAGATTTATATTCCCCAAGAGCTTTCTGGCGTGGCCTCTGTGGCTGCTGARCAGATGCTTATCATAAAATATGATGAGTGGAAATATCTTGTCCTGGTCCTTGTGAGGGTGACTTGCAGCAGAGGATTTAAAGCTGAAAACACAAATGGTGTCCAAGTGTTTTTAAGAGGAGATTCTTTCCTGCCATTCCTGCACTGAGGTTGTACATGTTAAGGGCAGTTTTCATTTTCAGTCCATATTGGGTAATGTCTCCCCTCTGCCATGGTCTGTTAATGCACTTCAGACTTTGAATCCAGTGACACAGTAAAGATTTTCGCTGTTGCAACAAAACACTGAATTTTGAGATAAAAAATAGCCAAAAAAGGAAGGTTTCCCTTAAACAAATCAATAAGTCATCYTAGCAATGAGGGTTTACTTAAGCTGCAAGTTTGTCCTTTCAAATAAATAAATACATAACTGTGATGTTATTCTCCTTGGTTCAGGGCATCATTTCTCTGGAGGCACCAGCTGAAAAATGGAGCAGCTTTCAGAGCAGTGGCAGATCACTGGGACAGCCACRCTGTGAGCCCAGGGAGGGACCACAGAGCTCCCCTTCCCCACATCCCTGCTGCAAGTCTGGCCCATGAGCTGAGCGTTCTCCACCCAGCACAAAATCATCTTTATCCGTCTCAGAGCTGGGAATTCCTCTGGTGCCACAGATGATTGCACTGGAATCGAATCAAATCTGAGGCAATTAATCCAAATTAGTCATTGTCCCCAGAAAYCTGAGCACTCAGGGAAGGCTGGAGGTGTCTGGGGCTCCTTCCATGGGAGCACTGTGAGCAGGAGCTGGGGAACAGCAGCACGGGAAAGCTTTAGAGAACAGGACACTTTTTGGCCAACACCTCTGGTAATTGAGCTMATAAAATCTTCACTCCTCTCCCTGCATGATGGAGATGTAAAAGGAGCAYCAAGCTGTAATCCCAGCTCAAATTCAAAGAGCCACTGTTATGTAGTGTGTGATGGCAGGGTATGAAGGTTATACGATCTTGGGAAAAGCCCTGTGAATAATTTTTCTGTGTGAATAACTCTATAGAAAGAGACAGCAAAATAAGTTGGTTTTTAACAGTTCTTGYTGGCAAGGAGCTTGAGCCCAGGGTTGGAAACGGCTGTGTTTGTTCTTGCTTAGATCCTGCACGATAAGCAGGGCTGGGCTGGTGGGTCTGTGGCTTTTTGGGAATGACAGAGCAGAGGCAGCTGCAGGGTTGGGCTCTGGGGCTGACCCCAAATTCTGTGCCTCAGGGAGATGTTGGGGGACAGGGAAAAGACCCCAATCTGGTATGACGGGTGCAGAATTCCTCTTGTCCGTCTGTCCCTGCTGTCTGTGGTGCTCTGCCAGCTGCTCACACTGTTCTCGTTCAGCCAGACCAGAAATGCCACAGATTCTGCACCGTGCCGAGTTTCCCCCTGCACTGACGTGGGGCTGGGAGYGTTTGGAAATGTGTCTGAAGTGCTCTGTGGTGGAAGGAGCAGTGTCAGCACACATCTCCCCTTTCCTGCACACAGCAGAAACATTCTGTCTGCTCCTGCCCTGCCCATTCTCCTCAGGCTGCATTTCCTGAGAGCACAGGAGATGCCATCAGCGTGGGGGAACCGTGTCAAAGGCTGGGGCAGTTACTGAAAATGTGAAAATCTGGAAATCTGAAAATCCAGGGAGGGAGAGAGGGAGGAGGCGATGGTGAGAGGTGGGGGATGCTGAGAGGGCAGTGACCAGAGAACATCACTGGGTGCAGAGAGCTGTGTCCTGTGCTGTGGAACGGGAGGGAGGACGGGAAGGATTTTGGTGTGAAGAGCAGTGGGAGCGGGGCAAAGGGCTGGCACTGGTGGAAATTGTCCCCTTTCTGTAGCTGCCCCATCCCTGATGGGCTCCTGCAGCTCAGTAGTAGTTCTCTCCTGAGGAATCTTGGTTTTGTGTCTCCTTGAGCMGCCTGGGCTAGTGGAAGTGTCCCTGCCCATGGCAGGAGGGCACAACTGGGTGACCTTTAAGGTCCCTTCCAACCCCAACCATTCTACAGTTCCATTATTGTTCCTGTTGGAGGCTTGGCTTGGTTTGGGGTGTTTGTAAATCATCCTCTGGTCACAGGGACATTGCCAGCCTGACCCTGTGCCACCTGCAGCGTGCTGGAGGGGACAGTGCTGTGCCATTGCTCTGATGGGGCACAGCAGTGTCACCACAGCACAGGTGACACTCAGGCTGCTCCATGGGTGCACGAGAGCCTCACCAGGATTGCTGGGAGAAATCCAGGCAGGGCTCTGCTGGAAGAGATTCCAGCTGCTACTGAAGAGAGTTTCTTGTAGGAGTGACAAAGCCCAGAAGCTCTAACCCTGACCTGGACTGTGCAGCCTCAGTGGGAGCTGGGACAGCGTCCTGCCAGCCTCCAAGTGGARCTGTAAAGCTGCTCTTCACTAATCACAGGATCCTCTGCAGGCACAGATAGAGAGCAAACCCTCTTGGTTTCGTGTAATGTGCAGGGATGCCATTAATCTTGAGATTAACTACGTCTGATTCTGGCTCTTTGGCCTGTTAGAAATGGCAGCAAACAGTGAGAAAAGACCAAAGTTCCTGATSTCTTCAAAATTACATCTTTGATGTGCTGCACTCTGCACTGCAGGAATTCTTGGCTTTTTCTTGTAGAACCTTGGGATTTTGGTGAAGGTTTTAGTTTGGGAGGTGTCCCAAAGGCCCCTCAAAAATAAACTACTCAGCTTTGTCTTCCCCATGGACCAAAGGTGCTCATGGATATCGTCCCAAGGAGCTGCAATGCAATCCTCAGGGCTTGGGTGGTGGGATGGAGCACTGCCCCGGGGCTGCCCAGTCCTGCTGAAAACTGCTCTCTCTGCTGTCCAGCCCTGCTGACCACTGCCTCTCACTACTGACCACTGCTCTCTCTCACTCCTACCCAGCTCCACTGACCACTGCTCTCTCTCACTGCTGACCACTGCCCTCTCTCTCACTCTTGTCCATCCCCACTGCTC